TCTCTTCAACAGTGACTGCAGATGGATAAATATCAATTATAAATATCAATTATCAAGCAGGACTCTCAAACCCTTGGACTGTACATTATCAGTAGATACAGTAGGAAAACAATTATAAAGCAGTGAAAAAGACTGGGAATTCATAGTCCTTCACCTAGTTCAGAGCTGTGCCGGAGAATAAATGTGACATACCCAGCATAGTAACCCCCAACTTTAGGGCGTTAGTTATCTGCTGGCATAGGACAAGGCTAGGATGTCAGGGCTAGATTTCTCTCACACCACCTACTGTAGTGTTACAATAGGAACTCTTACTCTCCACAGTACACAACTGGACACAGCCAAAACAGACGTGAAAGGCGAATCTGGTATCTCTTACCTTTTCGCCCAGACACCGCTGTAGCTGGGCTGTTTCAGCATGGTCTGGCCTGGCTCCAAAGGGCGTGTGCGTCTACTGTTCATTACAGCGGTCGACAAGGAGCCCCGTTTTCAATACAGATGTGCCGTAGCCATTGAGTAGGCGAGCTCTTTATATTTTGTTTGGGGAGTTCATCAAGCGAGTCGTTCGGTCATTTCCGTGCTGGATTTAAAAGAAAAACGAGACCCACCCCCCATCGTGTCCAGTGTGCACCTTGAGCACAAACACAAGACTAGAAATTATCCGATCATGATGTCCTCACTCCGCTCGTGAATTCGATTAAAGAGTCGATTAAAGAGTCGATTAAAGAGTCGTGTAGCGTCAAACTCGGCATCCGTCCCTTGTCCTTCAGCGCTGCAGAAACACTGCGATCGGGGATCTGTGCAACATTTCGCTTTTTCCCCACGCAGATACCAGGCGAAAGCTGAGAATGCACCGCGTCCCTACCGCAGACTGGCGTGATTTATTTTAATAACATTGTAACACACCGCCCAGTTAAACACGCACAGCTCGTAACATGTCCACGTTTCCTATCCCATTCTCCCAGAAATGATCGCGAACACACCCTCTGTTTTCCTAAAAAGAAAAAAGGATCAAAACGCGTTTGAACACGTTGGAAACCGATATAAGCAAGTCGAAGACAGAGGGGGAGTTGGTCTCCGCCCAGTTCAAGAACTTTCCAGGGCGAGGGCAAATCAAGACGATAAAGAGAAACACGCATCCACCCGGCTACACCATTTTATCACCTTACCGATGAAAATTAAAAAAACTCTTCAATGAAACGACGTCTGCAACAACTCCTGTGACTTTTTTTTGGGGGCAGCAGATTCAAAACAACCATCGAGTCTGGCCAAGAGGAGCGTCAGCAAGGGGACATAATATTCACTGCGCCCTCCTAGCGCCCCCTCGTCAGGAGATATGAGAATACCACTACTTCTTTTCAGCATGGAATAAACCTATTACTTGTTCCTTTGCAGCCTACGCCTGCTGACGCAGCTCCCCACCTGAACTAATTACAATATCAGTTATATTATACTAATATTATATAGCTATATAACATATATAATATAATATACTAATGGGGCGGTAGCGGTGGCTCTGTGGCTCAGGATCTGCGCCCGGGGCTGGGAGGGGTTTGCCGGTTCAAATCCCGCAGCCGGCAGAGGAATCCTACTCCGTTGGGGCCCCCCCCTGAGCGAGGCCCTGAACCCCAACTGCTCCGGGGGCGCTGTATAAATAGCTGACCCCTGCGCTCTGACCCCCAGCTTCTCTCTCTCCCCCTGTCTGTGTGTCTCCTGGAGAGCCAGCTGGGGTCTGCGACAAGATCATTCCTAATGCAAGAAATTGTAAAGGGCTAATAAAGTGATATTATTATTATTATTAATAGTTGCGAGTAATAGGTTTATTCCTGAGCTGCAACATTAGTTAAGGCGGTCCTTTGACAAAAGATCCATGTGCGGTTGTATCCGGTTATGAAACACGCTGCCGGGTTGTGTCCTGGCGATATGCAGTCCCTGGCGCCGTGTTTTCAGTTTGCTGGTCAAAATATTTATCATACCCTTCCGTTGGGCGGTTTCTGTCTGAAGTGTTGTGGTCGGCGTTACGCTATCGGTTTGTTTTGTTTGTGACCCAAACAGTTTTCACTGCTGTGAAAACAAACGTGATTTTTTTTGTATCGAGTGAGGACTGTAGCCGACATGGATTTGCAATACATTGAGAAACAGTTTAAGAAAGCGTAGTGTTAAGTGCAGATCATGCGTTGGTCTGGATAATAGCAACGTTATTCTACAAACAGCGCAAGACATGATCCGTTTGCAAGGATAATTGATCCTACCTGTGATTCTTTCAGAAATACTGAGTTCTATATGTTTATTTTTAGTTTGAATGTTTTTTTTTCATTCCTTTCCCATTTAAAAGGTTAAGAGTCCCTAATTTTGTGGTCTTATTTATGGATGACATATTTAGACTTTCAACTATAGGAAGAACAAGTAAAGGTTTATTCCATGCTGAAAAGAAACACAACGTTTTGGATGTGGGGCCTCTCTACCTGTACAACTTCCAGCTGTGTTCTGTGGATACAAAATAAAGACAACACTGGTGCTGTTTCACCTCTGCAGTCCAAAGACATACGAAGGTTGCTTCTGGGAAAATTGACCATGGTGTTTGACCTGTGATGGACTGGTGTCCTGTCCAGGGTGTGTGAG